TGGCTTCCCAACCTCGTTTCTAACCTCGACCGACCGCGCGGGAGGCGTGGACCATGGGATTTCAATTTACCTGGCACGGGTCACCGCCCTTCTACTTCATGAAAAGGACTTTTCCAGTCCCGCAGGCTGCCTGCCTTAACCAAGGTATTCCGGCAGATGAAATATGCAACGCGCTTTTCTTACTCGGATTTCTTGCGCGATCCCCACCGAATCGCCCAGAGAACTAAAAGGAAACTGGGAGGAGGAAACGGGTTTTGGGGAGGGTTAATTGCTAGGAAATACGATAAAGCTGGATGGGAAGCATTTCACTGGGACGTTTTTTTGGTCTTGTGCAATATTTTTGAATTATGTCCGTAAGGTTGAAAAAAAATGTCGAGAGAAAATCAGTTTAATTGCAATTTCAAGTCAATTTATTTAAAGAAGAGACTCGACATGTTTTAGACCAATTCTCAAAATTGATGACATTTAAATTTAAAGTTAAGGAAAAAAGTAAGATTGTTCGCAGATAAGGGATTTTTTAAAAGAAAATTTATGTCTTACTAAAGCCGCCTTTCACTACTTATTTTTAAAATATAGCAATTTCGAGAAGCTCTGTCTGACTAAAGTCGACTTTCACTACTGATTAGATTACAATAATTAAGGAAAATTCTGTCTGCCTAGAATTATCTTTCACTACTGATTTTCAAATTTCAGGAATTTAGTAAAGTTAGGTCTGACTAAAGCTGTCTTTTACTACTGATTTTTGAATTACAAAAGTTTTGAAAACAAAATTTTCCAGAATGTTTCTAGTGATAACTGATTGCCCTTTGTACTCACTTTTTTCACCCATTGTGAAATTTACAACCTATTTTATCTGTTTTTGAACATTTGTCAACTATTTCACATTTCTTCAGTTGTCGAATGGAAACAATATATCTTTTTTTTAAATAACAATAGATACTGTAATAAAGTGGTATTCTCTTCTTAAGTGGATTAAAATTTTTATTTTAATTTTATTGAAAAACTTTGTTTTTGTATGAAATAATAACACTTGTCGATCGTAAAGATTATCTTTCTCAATATATGATTATTATTAAATGAAAAACAGCTACTTGAACAACTTAATAATATTATTTTCTTTTTTTATTAAAATTTGATAAAACGTTTATCAAATGGAAAATTATTTTTCATAAGATTACAATAAAGATAAATATGACAGGAAAACTCCATTAGGAATTATTATTTCGTCATTAATGATTCAATTTTTTTATCGCACGCTATATAATATTTTTAAAAATGATACGTATAATACCGATTTGCATTCGTAAGTCGAAGGGATTTTTGCTGAATTATAAATCAATTTAGGTTATTATTACGTTAGTAGACGTATACGCGCTATTTTCAAAAGTTTATTTTCGAAATAAGAAATTTTTATACTCTATTTTAGATGAATGAACTTTATGTAGTTCATTATTTAAAATTTTAAACTGTAAAATTTTGTTGTTATTTCTTTTATTAATATTTAGGATATGTCAAAAAATACTCGAGGCACTTTTTTATTATTTATAATTACTTAAAAAAATACTCTGGAATAGTTAAAGATTTAAATATTTTATATTATTTCTTAAATTTAGAATAAATTGTATTGAAATATTTAAAAATTATTTTTATTATTCTTTTCATTGATGAAAAGAAGTATTTCAGAGATTAGAGGAAAGTTCTGTTTACTTTAAAATGTTTCAGAATAAAATTAGCAATTTAAATAAATCGATTAATATTACAATTAATATTCTATATTTTGATTACATATTTAAATTAAGGGGAATATTAGTCGAGGATTAATTTTCATTTTCAAGGGAAATATTATAATGAATAGTATAAGATATTATTATATATATGTTCTTATAAAATTATACTTTGGTAAACATGAATGGAATGAGTGTGACACGTAATTCGATTAATGGAACGTTCACAATAGGATTAGCGAGGATGCCGTAGCGCGTGTAATGCGGTAGATATAATTGGAGTACCCCGTGTATCGATTAAATAAAGATTAGTGAATCGTCTGTGCGTGAAAATCTATAACTCTAGTAAACCCTGAAGTTTCGAGGATATAATCGTTTTAATGAAATCATTGCTCGTATCCAAATTTTCGATGATTGAAACAACTATCCACTGGAAAATTTATTCCTACCCGCGCGAAATGCGTATCAAAATTCAATATACCAATATTCATATATTTTTTAAATTTACATTTTAATGAAACTGTTTTTTAATATGAAAATTTAAAATTGAAAAAATTATCGACGATTTAAAAAACATCAGAATATCAGTTTGACAATTAACAAAATCCCATTGAGAATATGTATTCCAATAATTGTGATACAAATTTAATTAACGAGACGACTTTTGTATAAAATAAATTTAAATAAATAAAGAAAAAATGCTTTTAATCATAAACATGCGCAAGAGAGAGAAAACTGATATCCTGATTAAAAGTGTGTATGATTTCTGTTTGATACATTATCAAAGGTAATACCAGGAACGTGCATTTTACTCGTTATAGCTATTGCAGTATCAGAGGATTTCGCATATATTTTCGAGCACTGACGTTCAGCAAGAGAAATCGATAGTTGTTCCCATGTAAAGCTGGTTCATTTAAGTCGCTACTTCTGTTATTATTGTTATTGTTCTCCATAAATTTGTTTATCACATTTCAGCACATCCTTTAATGCTCTACAAAATGTGTATATATAGCAAAACCCTTTTCCCCGAACATTCTCACTTTTATTCGATTTTTTTCTCATTTTTTTCATATACCTATACATATATTGTAGGTATACGTGAAATGAGAAAAAAATCGAATTTATATGGATTTGCATTATTTAGAATAAATTGAAGGAACAAATAAAAATTACATTATTTTATTTCTAGATTTAAATAATAATAATTTATCAAATGTTTTTATTTTTCATATGAGAATAAAATAATAATGAAAATAAAAACAAGGTTAAAGATTAACTTTTAAAAGATTTTTATTATTTTATACTATTGCTAATGGAAGTTAAATATATATATTTAAAAATACTGTTTTATAAAATGAAAATCTAGAAACGAGAATGCATTAGATACTCGAAATCAATACATAGTTATTTTTTTTAAAAGTTATCAATGTTCGTAAAAGCATAGATTTTGTAACCTGAAATTTTACTTTTTTTTAGTAAAACTAACATAATATTGTATTAGTAAATATTTTCATTTGTTCATTTGAAATAAAAGGAAAAATTTTCGTTTTATATTCTTCGCGTTTGAAGTTGTTTTTCAGTCATTTAAGAAAAGTAGTTGGCGAATATTTACGACCGTGGTTTTAGGAGAATTAAACATAAAAATTTCAGGTAGTTGGAATCGAACGCGGGTTCTTCATATTCAGACTTTTAAGAACTTGGTCTATTTTTACGGTTATGTTTTATATTTTTTGAATGGAAATTTAACTTGAAAGTAGGGATCTCCGAGGGCTATTTAGTTTGAAAGAATCTCCTGGAAGCTGAAAATTCGTCATTAAGGTAAATATTTTAATTTATTGAAAGAGGCAGCCAAAGCTGTTACTTTGTTTTGTTTTCGTGTAATGAATGTTTTAAAATAGTTTTAAAATGTTTCTCATACTTAATATAGCAATTCGTTATTTGGTTAAACTTAATGTCAGTATGTATCTCTCTCTCTCTCTCTCTTTCTCTTTCTGTTGATAACGAAACTTTCGTCGTTTCCCATTTCTCGTTGCTGTAGGAAATGCGGAGTATCGTTAGTAGTACAAGATATGACCTTAAACTGTAGTCTGTGAACCATTAAGAAAATACAATGCACCCTCTCGACCGCAAATGGACTCCCACAACATAATTGTAGGGTGTTTAGCGATAATCGCGGGCTGATGCATCCAACTATATAAATGAAGTTTCCACTGCATCGAACGTTTTGTTTGAGTGTCGACAATCATGACACAAAATACAACTATTTATTTCTTCATATTAACGTACACATTGTGCAGAAAAGTGCCTCTCATTAGGAACATTACATGTCTGAAATGAACTCGTTAAGTAATCTACGATAATTCATCATTATAATGCAAATTAATTAATTCCTGGAATAAGACACAATTAGTAAAATTATATCTTTACAAGATATATAATTGAATTAAGTTACTTGTTTCATCGGAAAGTTCTTCTACTCTAAATTATCCCATTTTTATTTTACTCTTTCATTAAAGAAATCGATTATTCCTTCGTTGAGCTAATTTTCAATTAATAGTTGATTACGATTGTAGTTGTGTTAAATTCTTTTTTACACATTTTCCAAGAGAAAAGGTAAAGATTTTTCTAAATCGTAAAAATTTTATTTTAACCTTTACAAAAAAAATGATTGTTCAAAATTATATCTTGATGTTATTTTCTTCTCGTATTACTTTTATTAGTATTTTCATGGAGGAATGGGTTTACAAAGAAATGGATAAAGTTAATTTTCATAAAGGAAAATTATTTCCATTGTCTAAAAATAGGTAAATGCGTATAAAAAAAATTTCATTTCATTTAAAAAAGCTTTAGATTTATGAAGTAAATGAAACTAAATTATTAATAATTTTTTTATTAAGAAATACAAGAAAATAATTAAAGTCGATCTCTGGCCAATTAAATATTTATATATAGGATATAAATCTTTTATTTTATAAACTTCTACTTGAAAAGGAAAAACGTCTAGGCAAGATATTATATACTGATTATTTTTCATTTGAGGCTTTTTAACTTTAATAAATTGTAGGATAAATGCCATGCCTTGGAGGTATTTTTACTTTTTAACAAAGGATCGATACAAAAATCTCTGATTTTCAGCAGTTTTATTATACTAGAGATAAAAGTTTTTTCCTAGAAATTTTTTTTTAAAACAAAATAAGTACACTTAAGGATGATGTCTCATTATTTAGGTTTTAAAATAATTACAATACACTGTTTTTAAAAATCTTTGGACTTAAGTAAACTATATTTGTCTCATTATATTAAATAGACAATCTGTACATTCACGAGGAAAATTAATATGTACATAAATTGAGCAAAGACCAAAAACTCATATTCGGATTTAACATATATAGATATATTATTCGTTTTTGCTTTGAAATTACTTACAATGTCCAAAATGATAAAATTCTTCACAAAAATGTGGACATGCTTTTTAAATAAATTGAAGGAATTTTATTTTTCAAACATTTTTATATCGTTTTATGCTAAACATTTTTAATTTAACTTACATATATATATACATGAGAATTTGAAAATAATAATTATTAAGGAGAAATTAACAAATGATTTACATTTTTATATAAACATAGTTGAAAAAGAGATTTTACATTATAGTAAAATTTTTCGGATTTTTTTTTAAATTCATGTTGATCACTGTTGTTTATTGTAAATAAACAAGACTCGTAGAAAATCGATTATAAAATTGTCAATTTTCAACCTAGACTAAACTAATTCACTCGTCTCTTTATTTTTTTCACACTTACTATTTACAAAAATTTAGAGTCGCATTTCATTCTTGTTTTTGTTTTGCGATTTTAATTCAATGTTTTTAAATTTAAAGAGAAGAAACGTTTTTTTTCTCGTGTTGAATCGGTAGGAATTAGATTAATATATTTAATGTAGATACAGGAAATTTTTTTTTTTCAAATTTTGAAGAAAAAGTATTTTCTATTATAATAATTTGTATTTTCGATTGCGAGAACCTCTTAAAATCAATTGGATTTCAACAAAGAGAAAAAAGGATATTCCAAATTTAAGAATATCAATTTTATTCTCACTTTGTAATATAATATTCTTAAGAAATTGAATAATTGCTTCTTACTTTAAGCATATTATAATTATTCCAAGTAAAAATAAAATGTGTGGATTATAGGTATATTCTTAAATTTTGGAATATAATTTTTTTCGCTGTTGACGTGAAACAGTGTAAATTTTTTTTATCTCATGATTTATAATATCGTTAAAGTTTTTATAAAATATCAAATATGATTGACGAAGTTCGGTATAACGAGAGAAAAAAACGTTTGAACCATTTTAATTTTTATTAAAGTTGTAAACTTGAAATGGAATCTACCATGTACAAGCTGCAAGTTGGCAATTGGTCGACCATCTGGCAGTGAAATTTCTTCCTAATAAACTGAGTTAATAGTGTGTCAAATAGTTTTTCTTTTTGTCACAATGTCTTTTTGGGCGGAGCACTATATGAACACTCATAAGAAAAAACATAAAGAACAATTCTAGACGTTCAATGTCGAGTTACCAACATTGTTCATGAAGGTGGAATGTTGACCATCTTGATTTGTGGCCGTTACCCTGGCAGTGTGCCCAGCTTCACCACTCTGAATGCTGAAGTGTCGATAGGAAATATACTCTGGTGGTATAGGTTGCATTTCCCTTTTCACAGTTTCGCGTTGCTTTTTTATCTTAAGATAACCGAGCACAGACACAAGAAGCACAAGAAACACAAAACCCATACAACAGCCAATGATGAGACCCAATCGCCTCGTTAATATGCTCTTAACACCCTCGGTATCGCTCAGAGACGACTCGTCACTACTGGCAACAGCATCAGGTGCTTCTAATGTTGTCACTTCGCTGCATCGACTCGTTAGGGAATCAACCATTTCAGGAATAGATGTTGTCTCGAAAATGTCTTCTCTACTTTCATTAAATTGCCCAATTACATTATTTTTCTCGTTTCCACCCGGCAACCAATTGCCAAGACCCAGAACACAAATTAAGTACCTCGTATTTGACGAGAGTTTCGAAAGTTTTACTGAACGCGCACTGGGATCGAGCATCTTGCCTCTCACCTAAACAAACAAACAAAAATTGTCTCAGTTCAAAATTCATTTTTTTAATTCTTATATAAGTTTTAGTTTTTCAGTTTTAGTCAGACAAACATCTCTTAATTAATGTTTTTTAAAGATAATTCTATTTTGACAGACAGTAATTTTTGATAGAAAATTCCCTTGAAATTTCAAATGAAAGAAAAGTTTAATTCAAGAAAATGTAACCTTAAATATAAGGGAGTAAATATTTTCTTGATACCTTTTCTAGTGTAGGTACTGGTATAATACTGAGCATCATCTTTATTTTAAGAGTGCACTTGTTTTCTGCAGGAAATAATGGCAGAAATGGCTTGTAAAAATGAAGATAGAACCGTGTAATACTGAGGTTATGCTTCATTGAAATACTAATAAAGCTTTAAAAAAAAGTCCATTTTAAAAAATGAATTTTATGAACAACAGCGGTGGTAGTCATTTTTAGATAATAAACTTGTTCTTTTTTTAAATACGCGATTTCTTTTCTAAACTAGTGATACTATTTTTTTTAAACTATTTTTTAAAACTATAATTTAGATTCAGAGGGTTTGCAAATATTTTTTTAATACAGCAAGAAATTAAATTTAGACAGTGAGTTTTAATTTTAAAAAGTGTGTTGAATTTCAGTAAAGTAACAAGTTTAAATATTATTCTTCACTGTTTAATTTATGATTCCATATCCTTGTTCAATTACTAGAATTGTCATTTGATGATTAAATTACTAAGGACCTAATTTACTAATGGAATTTTGTTATTAATTTCATTAGTAGAAATCTTTTGAAAATTAGAAAAATTGACAACTATTCATAATTAAATTTATAAAAAGATAAGTGTTGGAGCACTTTTTCTATAAAATTGAAAATATTGTCACGTACAATTTTAAAAAGTTTAATATACCAGGGTGTAAAAACGTTACTGTCCATTACTATTGTACCTTAGGAAATTGTGAAAACAATAGATTTTATACTTCTATGAAATGAAAAGCAATAATTATAATCCCCTGAGCAAATAACTTTATATATATATATATATTTGCACTGATTTGTACACGACAATTCAATGTCCTTTAGTTTCTCCAATTTTCGAAAGTACAAAGAGACTAATATTACAACAATGAAATACAGCAATTTGCGGTAATAATGGGTATATGGATTACGGAGCAAGTTTGAATACAAACGTATTATTACAGCTGAAACAGAAGCATGAGATTATAATGCATGACATGTTTTGATTATGCATTAATAACATTGATACATAACGAGAAATTTCGGATAGTTAAATTTAGGTTAAACAACTTAGACGTGCCAGTATCGCCCAGTATAAAGTTTACTGGAGTATGTATATACATACATATATGCAATATTGTAGAGAATGCGAATTGATATTCAGACACAGAATTTGATTACAATCCATGTGTCATGAACTATTTATTGTAACTTTTAAACAAACATTTTGAGATAATGATATATTTGTTCTCTTAAATGTCTCTAAAATAATAATATTTAAAACAAGTGATAGGAGGAGTTTTGTATTTTTTTGAAAGTTGCTTTTTGCTGTTTATCACATTTGTTAAATGTATAGAAATTCTTGGGGGAGCAGTTTACTTTTTTATGGCAAATAGTTTCAGAATGTTTAACGTCCGGGTTGTAAAATTTCTTCAATTGGATTTATATTCTTTGAGCAATCTGTCGTTTATTCGCGTTAAAAGGAGACTTTAACAATGTTTTGGATTTATTACCTCCTCAACGTTGTCCAGAGCATGATAAGCAACTTGGTACCCATGGAGACCAGAGTGATTTCTGCTTTGCCATGATACAAGTACTGAGAATGGTTGTATGTCCTGAATGGCAAGTTTAAGGACCAAGGGGGCAGAACAGAAGGTGTGGGGATCAAGGTCTAGGAAAACGAGACCTCTCAATTCTGGTGGTTGTTCACACCTCAAAAGTCCACTTTCCACGTCGTTCACACCAACGCCGCTGCCCCTATTACGTCCAACGCCACCGCCAACTAGTTTTTTATGGTCTCGCAGCCACTCCCAAAGCTCTTGAGATTCACAACTACAGTGAAGGGGATTTTCTACAGAAAATAAATTATTATTTTATATATTTTTATTTGACAAACAATTCTTATTCTTTTTTTCCTACATATTTCTTATGTACCAAGTTTTCCAAAAAGAATTTTTTAAAGAAAAATATTTTTTTTTGACAAAATATTTAGAAAGAAGAATTGAGAATATTTTTTTCTTTGCAATTTTAATAGAATAATTAATTTGCTTCATATAACTGAAATTGTTAAATTATTTTTCTTTTTCTTTTACTCTCAATAAAAGAAACCGCATCTTTACGGATTTTCTTTTATACTTTTCATGATTCTTTATTGAGAAAGGTTGTAAATCTTAACACCTTTATGTAACCATGTAATGTAAATAGCAATCCACTGGGTCTTATCTACAAATTTATTACTGTTTCTAGAGAGAAAGGGTCATGATTGTGCATACTGTTTAATCTTTGGAGTTTAATATTCAGAAGCTTAAAGTTTATTATAAGAACTTGCTCATGAAAATTAAATTGATGGGGAAGTAAAACTCGATTTAGAGCGTTGTTGATATAATGACCAAACGCACGAAAGTAAAAAAATATTGAGATAAGAAGATATAATTAAAAGCCTGCCTCATAACGAAAATATCTTAATGTGACACTATCATTCTTAATAATAGAAAAGTGTTAGAAGTAATTAAATTTAAATTTTTTTTTAAATATATTAAAACTGCAGTTGGACACAAATTTTTCCAAGTGAAATTTTACATGCCTATATTAACTTTTCTATTAAAGTCACTAAATTATTTCTTTCTAATTAAAAGGATTTTATTAGTAGACTGAAAAAAATATCCTCAATATACAACTTTTCTAGTTATAAAATAAATGTTTGACTATTTTGACTATATAGAATAAAAAAAATGCTCACCTTCAGCTCTAAGACTTCGTATTTGTGTTTCCAACGGTCGAAAAGCATTAAGTGGCAAATTTTCCAAATAATTTTTGCTAAGATCAAGAATTCTAAGTTTCTTTAAAAGTCGAAATGCATCGGACGATATTTTTGAAATTAAATTTCCATATAGATGAAGTTCAGCCAAGTTCTCTAAATGTTGAAACGTCACTTTTCTTACCTCGTTGATTTGATTATGGGATAAGTCTAAAACCTGGAGGGCTTTTAGATCCTGTGGGAATTCCTCCAATTCCTTTAAGCGATTGTGCGTTAAATTTAGCAGTCTCAAGTGCTCCAGTCCCTTTAATCTCTCTTGTGGTAACGATTCCAACTCATTGACACTTAGGTCTAGAGTTAACAAATTTGGCAAGCTACGAAAGGCACTCGGTGAGACCCTCGAAATCATGTTGTTGCCCATAAAGAGATGCATTAGAGCGGGAAAAGCTTCAAAGTCTTGACTAGTTACTATAGTTAAATTAGTGCCACAAATGTGAACCTCCTGTAAAGCAGGGTACCTCGCTTCTGAACTGATTTCGTGAATTCTTGCTAAAGGATTTGCGGTTACATTCAGCCATCCTAAACTTGGTATGTTCTGGGCAGATAAAGCCGTTGCTGGTATCTGACGAAATTTGTTTGCAGCTAATTCGACTTTACGCAAAAGATTTGAATGGACGAAAAAATTTGCCGGCAACGCTGTCAAATGATTGTGGCTCAAGTCAACTGATAAGAGCTTTGAGAGATGTACCGATGCAAAGCCAGATAGTGACATTATATAATTATCTCGAAGATCCAGTTCACGAAGATTCATTAAGCCCTGAAGTCGAGACATGTCCACGTGAAGTAAAATATTGTAGGCTAATGAGAGAAATTCGATTTTTGAAGCATTTATAAAAACTTCGTAAGGGATATCCTGAAATCGATTTCCATCCAATTTCACTTCCTTGAGTGAATCGAGACCTAGAAATAAAAATGCTGGCAGTGATTGTAGAAGATTGTTGCTCAACAGTAATTTGCCTAAATTTTTGTTTTTTGAAAACAATTCTGGTGGTATTCGGTGAAGTTGACAAGAGTCCATGGCTAAATGTTGTAGAGATGGTAGACCGTCGAGGGAATCGCAGTCAATTAGACTGAAATTATTGTGTGATATTCTGAGGATTCGTAAACCCGGTATATCGAGGCGATCAAGCGCCGAGGCAGTGAGATGATTGTGTTCCAAATTTAGTTCGTAAAGATTATTCAAGCCTCGAAATGTGCCTCTTTCGATAATGCTGACTGATGAATTTTTCAAACTAAGTGTTCTAATTGGCAGACCTTCTTGAAAGATGCTGTCGTGCAGAACATTGAGATGATTGTTGGACAGATCGAGAACTCGCAATCGTTTCAGTGCTGTCAAGGCATATGCATCCATTCGACGAAGTCCATTGTCACCCAAGTAGAGTTCCTCAAGTTCATGAAGCTCGGAGAATGTCTTTACAGTTACGTGATTCAATCTGTTCATACTGAGATCTAGGAATTTGAGGGCTTGCATGGGTAAGAAGGCGTTGTCCTCAATGCGAGATATTGAATTGTTGGTGAGGTAGAGTCTCTCCACTAAAAGGAGATCACGAAACAAAGGCGCTTGAAGACGAGTTAGTCTGTTATGTCCCAACCACATTATACGCACCGATGCTTGACCCCTCAGCGAATCGTTGTGCAGTACACCAAGACCATTATTATCTAGCTGAATCGAAACCAGAGAACTGCCTCCACCATTGCCATTTTGTCCGACTTCGTTGGAAATTTGAAAGACGTCGCCTAATACTGCCAAAAGATTTCCTTGAAGATTCACATGTTGCAAACTGTGTAGGGATCTTAGAGCACCAGTTTCCATGTCTGTGATTGCATTATTTTGAAGATGTAATTCAAGAAGACGGGGTAGCGGGGCAAAAACGTCCCTTTTCACCTCTGTTATCTGATTGTCCTGAAGTCGCAATTCTTTCAGATGATTGGCTTTGGCAAAAGTACCAACTTCCAATTCTCTGATGTTGTTACCATCTAGAGAGAGAGTGGACAAATTTTCGCAATGTTGAAGAAAGTCACGTGGTACTTTTTCTATGTAATTCCCACTAAGATGCAATTGTGCCAAATGATCGAGCGTCACAAGACCCTTGGCATCGATTCGTCTGATGGCATTTTGTTGAAGATATATTACAGTGAGACTGGAACTGCCAGAGAAGGTTTCAGCCGGTATTTCGAGGATATTGTTTTCAGCTAGAAAGAGTTCCTTGAGTTCAGGCAATCTCGAGAAAACGCCACGTATATAGTGAATGTGATTGTGGCTAAGATCAATGGATCTTAACTTTTGATTGGCACGAAATGTTGCTATATCTAGAAATACTACTTTGTTGTGGCTAAGATCTATTGATTCGAGATCCTTCAATGATATGAATGCATCCTTGTCAACAGATTCGACAGCATTGTAGTAGAGTGAGAGGGTCTTGAGAGAGGGACAACATCGAAAGCAGTTTAATGGAATAATTTGGAAATTGTTACTACTTAAGTCTAAGAAATTGAGCCTATCCAATCGCGAGTAACCATCCTCGGGCAATTTCGATATCTCATTCCATGCAAGTCTCAATGATGTTAAATGTTCCAGGCGTCTTAATGCTGTCATTGGAAAGATTTTTATTTTATTCTCCGTTAGTTCGAGATCCTTGAGAGTGTCCTCGAGTCCTGCGAATGCGTATTCGGAAATTTTTGTGATTTGATTTCCCTTTAGATTAAGTTTGACAAGAGATAGTCCATAAAATATATAGCTGGTTAGATCGTGAATGAGATTCGCTTCAAGATCTAGAGCAGCCAATCGAACAAGTGGAGCGAGTGCTTGCTGTGGAACGTTTGGAAGTTTACTGGAAACTATGGCTAGGGATTCCAAACTGAATTCTAATCTTTTAAACGCGTCTTGAGTTATTTCGCGTATGTTCGATTGCGAAATTTGCAAATGTCGAATTTGTGAACCAGTTGGAAAAGCGGCTGCTCTCAACTCTTGCATCTTTCGATCCACCTCGTAGACACTTAATGATTGTATTAAGGCACCTGAAAAAAAGAAAAAAAATTTCTTAACATTTTTCTTAAGAAATGTGATTTTATGAAAATCTTTTTTAAGATCATTATTAATAATGACGAGAGGAAATAGGAAGAGATCAGAGTAAAAAAGAAAAAATATATTACCCTCCGGTTTTCCAGTATGAAGTACTCCTGATAATGCAGTTCTCAAAGATTCCTCTGTCGAACCAGCACACTCGAGAAACAGTCCATCCTGAAAATTGTAGCAAGGACACCCTGCCAGTGAATCGGAAGGAGGGCATTCAGCACTCTGCGTTTCCTGAATCGTTATACAGACAGCCAGAAATGCCAAGTAGAGTATAAAAGCACTTGTCCGATGATGGCGGTTTCGTTCCCATCCTCTACCTGACGGTGGATCCCGCCACTTTCGTTTAGTTCGTGGTAACGACTTCCACATTATCGCGCAATTTCAGATTGTGAGTTTAGCATCTTTCTCGACATCTTGCTTACGGGATCTGTAATGTTCAAATTTTCAACCAAAAATTTAAACAACATATGTTCATAATTGGAAAAAATAATTATAATTTTCACTCATAAAAAACAAAAATTTTACTCATGATATTCTTTTTCAAATATTTTTTTTCAATTTCATCATAGTTTTAAAAAAATAATAGTAGAACAATTTTTTATCGTGTATAGAATGGGTTGTAGATAGTAAAAAAAACTAAAAAGAATGGTGTGTATAAAATTCCTCTAACATCCTTAAATTTTTATTTTAGAGAAAAAAAATCGTTTTTATGTGGGTTGTACCTTTATAACTTTGTTATTATTGATTCTATTTAAAAGTTTTTTAAAGCTAAAAGCAGGGCATTTTACCACAAGGCTTTTCAGGTTATTTTTTTCTAGTAATTTCTTAATTTTTATAAATAGCCCTATTTGTAGTAAAAAGTGCAGTTATTGAGATTCGAAAATGGGAGCTTCTTTAATTAATGAAAATAAATTAATTTCTACAAGATCAGGCTGTTGAGTTATTAAAATGAGAAATTTGAATTTCCCTATTTCGAGACGATCTCTCCTATAAGTTAGTTTGATTTTCCGGATGACTTGAAGGGCCGCGGGAATAATTAATAAACATCGGTGAATAGTTAATAGTGTAACACATTCCATCATTATTAACGAAGAAGAGTATAATAAATATTAATGTCTTTAGTAAAGTGCCTAACTTCATAATGGTGGTCAGACCCTTCTGATCCATTAGCACCGCAGCTAAATTGAATTTCCTCCACAGTTAGTAGTTCAGGTTCGAATTAAATCGTTGAGCTGTGTGTAGCTATAGTATATACTGATGATAGTATATAGTTGAATTTAAAAGCTGCAGACTAATTATTATATCTATCTATATACAGTTTAGACAAAAAGGAATTCTTCTATTTGTTTAAATCCATTTAAAGAAAATGCAAACTGTTCGAAAATAGTCAGAGCATGTTTGCATATTCCATAATTATAAGTCGTATAACTTTAGAAAGGATTCGTTTGTTTAGTCTGACAACCGTAACGCGAATGCAAATGATTTTGCCCTCCTTCCATTGTGAATTTTAGTAATAGGAATTTTACGAATGGGAATCAAATTGTTTTACTTTGAGATTTTATCATATTTTACAATAACTTTGCTTTGAGTTTGCAATTATTTGAATTTAATAAATTTATTCATTTTTTTCCTCTTATTGTCCAATTGTATTTGTTTAATTGTTAGTTAAATTCTTGGAAAATAATAAACCTTTTGAAAATGTAAATGTAGATCAATATATAGAAACAATGAATGAATAATAACTTAAAAAATAGGAGCTTTTAAATAATCACCGAATAAATGACTATATTTGTGTTATAAATAAATGTTGAAGAATTAATTGTTTAGTGTATTGAAAAAAAGAGTAAAAATTTGTAAAGCAGTAAAAATTTATAGTTCGGCATACCTATACATATACTAAATCAATGGAAAATAAAACAATTGTAATGGAACATTTGGATGGAATTCAATCTATAAATAAAAACACTGATAGAACTTCTATCCCCAGTAAGGTTTCATTTTGTATAGAAAGTAAATTTTATTTTATTTAATTTTACTCCATAAAAGCTTGTGATTCGAAAAAAGAGTCGATACCGCCAGTATCGAATAAACGTTAACAAGAGATTTACGACAATACGAGCTAGGATATAGCTTCTTTGAACCCTTAGTTCACGTTTTCTATATCGTCAGGATCATTTGATTCGAATTCAGCGAGGCGAACATTATTGTAAATCACTCGAAAAACATATTTTTCGTGTTTAAGTCGTTTAAAAGATATTGAACTTCGACTATATTTTCCTTTCATCGGCAAAAAAAAAGTAAAAATGTCGGTCGACAACTTTTCTCATGGGGTACAAAGCAATTTTTTTGTGTTTAGTATACACATATTGTCAGTGAAGAAGAGAAAAATATTTTTAAACAAAATAATTTTTTTTAGCATATTTATAAGCCAGTAAATTATTTTTTTTTCTCGTGTAACTTGTTGAGCAAGTTATACTTGCTGAAATGTTTAAAGGCTGTGTTGTTTAATCTTTCGGAAGTTTCGACTGACAATTAGCTCTCGACAATCGAAACTTCACTTGCATTCTAATTTTCTCTAAGCTGAAAACTCTTGTTGAGAGGAAAGTCACTTTGCGCGCAGCGAAACCAGGATTGGGAAGTCATTTTCCAGGCGATGAGGAAGTCTCCGCGGGTGCACACCAGGCAAATTAATTCCAGTAAAGTTTCCACAACTTGAACTTTTCCTTCCTTCTTTCCTCCTCCCCACAATTCCCATGGCTTTTTCGTCTCATTTCTTTCGCCACTGCCGTTCTTATTTTTCTCGTATAACACGTCATAAAGGAAACATTACGCGTTACGTAAATTGTGAAAAACAGATTTTTCCGCAATAAAAAATAATTTCTCTTTACATAATAGAATACTGCAGAAAAAAAATGTGTTAGTGGAAAAACATTTACTGGCTCTCTGAAAAAAATTTATGTTATTCAAATAGTCAATTAATTCCATAATTATTTATTCGTGTAAATATTTTTTTTATTTATTATTGTTGTCAATTTTTATTGTTTTTCAAAGTTGTTTTGCAAGTTTTTAAAAATTTTTATTTTTGTTTTTAGGCAGACATTGTTCGAGAATGGTACATGGAGGTCGGATGCTGAAATGCAGTTCATAAGGTATGTAATAATTAATTAACAATAGTATATAATAATCAGTTTTTGATTTGGAAATAAATACATTTCAACTAGTTGATTTTAATTTAATTAACGATAAAATTTAATTATAATTTAAAAATAAATTATGAAATCGGCAAATGGAAATGATTACTTAGTGTGCAATTGGGATTGAGATTTTATTTTAAGGAAGTGTACATAAAGACTAATTAAAATTTTCCTTTCCTTGAATAATGTATTTTTGTTTAAAGTGCAGTTTTTATATTAAAGAATAATTTAATTTCCGCGTTTGTCTGAAAAGTTTTATTTTATAATCGGGTTTAGGGAAAAGAAAAGTTAGCTTTTCTTTCACAATTTAAAAAGAATTCAAGTTTACATTAGACTAAGAATATATAACCTTAAATGAAATATCTTTAAGATTATATTTGCAATTTATAATTGATTAATAACGATTTATGATTTAAATATAAGAAAGAAAAGAAAATCAACGAAAAAAAAATCTTGCATTAAAACAAAACTAATTCACAATCAATAAACGCGATAATATTATGGGACAAAATTGAATAAAATCGTGAAATTGTGTAACATTTCGTGAAATGAGGTTTTCAAACTTGAACGGAATAGTTCATTTTAGTAAACCGCAATAATAGTAACATTTTTTAATTTACTGATATTAAAGTTTTATTTTAGTTGGCACTCGACTTACATCACGTTGCTCTATATAGAGACCCAATCTACTATAAGAGTTTTGAACCTTCGAAAGTCGTTTAAATCTAACGGAATGACTCCCTTGCTTTCCCTTGGGATTATGGTTTCGGTAGTGAAAAGTGTAACATATACTTAACGTCATGCACTTTTTACTTACTTTTTTAGATTATGTGAAAACCTATGAAAATTTTCATACTTTTTATCTCTAGAATATGCTTATAATATTAAAAGGTTGTTAAATTCTTCAATTAACATTTTTATTGCAAGCATAATTTCTTAAAGAATATTGTACAATATTCTTCGAGTTTATTGTACATTAAAATTGTTTGTCCATGCGTGTATAAAAGGCTTTCGTTTTATTTTATCAATGTATGTCAAGTATATTTGTCAGGGTATGTTCAAATATTAACTTTTTGTTTCAAGTTTCTTTGATTTCGATATAAAAATTATTAACATTTATGGAAATCCAGATCTTCTTATACTTTTCAAATTCTCAGTAGTCAAATACATATTAGGTCAGACAAATTGTTTGATTTTTTCTTTAATTACAATGAGTTGAAGATAGACCTCTTAACTCTGTATCAGTAGTAAGAGACAGTTTCAGTCAGACGAAACGTTTTAAATTATGTAAATCTGGGTAGCAATAAAAGGCCTCTTCAGTCAGAGAAAACAGTTTATATAATCTTGTGATTCTGGTTTAAGTAGTAAAAATGTTCATCAGATACAATTCTTTTAATTTTAGTTTCAGTAGTAAAAGTCAGTTACAGTCAGGCAGAGAGTAAAATTCCGTAAATCTTGATATAGTAGCATAATTTCTAATTCTGCAGAAATGTTTTTAAATGTTAATATCTTCGTACTTGGTTTAGAAACTTGGTATTTATGTTCATAAACATAGTTTGTCGTTAAGATAATATTGTTCAAGTGAAAAATAAAACAGAATGAATTTTCGTAAATTTAAATGTGATTTTTGTTGAGGAAATATTTAAAGTGAAAATAACGTTCCTAGGTAAATTGAGAACGTTTCAACATCAATATTTATCGTGGATAAACATTGGTCCATCTCTTTAAAAGGTTGTGTCGCCCTTCGACCCTTACCCCGAGGTCGTAGTAGGTTTTCTTCACTATGAGAAAACCCTTTCATCGCTCTCTGGTTATGTGGAGGACATAAATTTCCACGAACCTACATTTTCTTGCAACACGTCTGCACGTGACCTTTATACAAAGTCAGGAATAGTTCAATTTTGTCCTCTCGCTCTATAATGTTCTTAAATTTTTTTCGTTATTTATTTTTTACCTGTTCGTCGAATTATTTTTGATGTTTTCATGTAACAAGAAGGAAATAATTTTTTATTCTCTCTTTTGGGTGTCTCGTGTTTTTCAAGTAATTTGATAATGTTTCTGTTATCCGTACCCATTCGAGTCATCCTAATACTTGTATAGAAGTTAGTAATCTAATAGGAAAGTTTCGGAACGTTGTAATAGCGCCAACTTCTTCGATCGTGGCTTATATACAAAAGGAAAGCAAATATAGTACCAGAGAAAGAGAAAAAGAAAAATAGAAAAGAAAGAGAGA